AAAAAAAAAAAAAAAAAAAAAAAAGAAAAATCATGAGGATAGACTCAGTCGGGAGGCCAAGAGGTGGCACAGTGGTCATGCAACCAGACCCACATGGGTGGGCCACTCAGGGAATAAGTGATCCAGGAGCCCAGGAAGAACCAAATCAGAAGCAACTAGGACACCCGGAAGTTACAATACATTTTGGGTGGTTTGGTAAGGATGGGGCCTGTGGGTGTGAATTGTCCATGGTTTGCTGCCTATTACACATTTGTTCCTGACTGGGAAGTCACATCCCTTGTAGATATCAAGATTCTGCCTCTCTCAGTAGATCACGACATAACTTCGACACCTCTCCAGGGCTCTCTTAGTGATCTGGGCCCTGGTACTAGAAGCACAATTCTATTTTTGGGTGGGGCAAAGGTCAGGACTACCACTCAAGGTCTATGAATCCATCAAGTGTTAAAGTTAAGAGGGGTTCAGTCCACAATCCACCCTTCCTGCCTTAGCCATCTTTTACCTGGCTCTGTCTTAACAGCCCAGGTTGTCAAGTTCCTTGCAGGAAATCTTCAGGCACAGTGGTAAGATAAGGTGATCACAAAAATCTCCATCCCACCCTGGATGGTCCTCTCTCCTCTCCTTGCATGGGAGAGATAGTCCAATGATAGTGCTCCTAGACTCAGGGAGGCTCCCAAGCTGTACAAGACAGAAAGTAGATTCAGTTCTAAATCCCAGCATTATGGACAAAACCTGGCAGAGGACGGACTGACTGCCTGAGGGGACCGTAACAGCAGCCCAAGGGTGAGGACAAATTGAGCCCAAATGAGATATCCAGATAGACTATTATGACTAAGAAGCCCTCTGTCCTTCATTCAAAACCATGAGTGGTGGGACCGGCAGGTGACACAGTTCGTAAGGGCGCTGGACTCCTACATGGCTGACTGTGGTTCAAGTCTGACCTGGAGGCTTGCTTTCTGCAGATCTGTGTAGTCTACGGGCTTCAGTGACCATGTTTCTTTCCACTATCATTTCATGAAAATTAAGTGATTAAAAAGTATAGGGACCAGCAGGTGGCATAATGGCTATGTCACTGGACTCTCATCTAGTCAACCGCGGTTTGAGTCCTGGACCCGGTGGCTTAAACTCACGCCGGGAACGTGTGCATGCGCACCCAAGATCCCGAGAGGAGAGTGAAGGGATTGCAGCATGGCCATCCCCCCTGGGGAGTGATTTCGGCTTTCTGTTTGTCTGTCTCTCTCTTTCTGATGAGTACATGCGCCCTATAGCAAAAAAACAAAAACAAAACAAGTAAAACCTTGAGGGAGCCGGTAGGCAGTGTGGTGGTTAAGGGCACTAGACTCCCACATAGCCAACTGCAGTTCAAGTCCTGGACCTGGTGGCTTGCTTTCTCACTTTCCCTCTCTCTCTCTGGTCATATAAAAATAATAAATTAAAAAACAAAACAAAACAAAACAAAAAACCTACCTTGAGGGAGTTGAAACTGAAAATAGAATTAGAACCATAGTCAGCTTCAGTTTCATCCTTTGGTTCATTTTCTTTTGTTCAACCCAGTTACCTTGCCTCAAGGCTGTCCCACAGAAATGCCCATGTGTCTTTTAACTTGGGTTCTAAGATCTCACAGCCTGAACTCCCCTTAACCCTGCCAGTATGTGACTGTTGAAGACATGACACTTTCTCAGGGGCTGGGTGTCCCCATGGAATCTGGAAGTCTTGGGGTCTGAAACTTCAGGCATATTATGGTCTGAATGTCTGTGTCCCCTAAGTTCCCAAGTAATAATCCTAACCCCCAGTGTGATGGTATTAGGAGGTGGGGCCTTTGGAAGGGAAGCAATGCCCTCATGAATGGGATTAGTGTTCTAGTAAAATAAGCCTGAGAGAGCATGAACCGGCTCAGGGAGAAGGCACCATCTATGATCTAGAAAGTGAGCCTTCACCAGATCTGCTGCCACCATGGTTCTGGACTTCCCAGCCTCAGAATTACAAGAAATAAACAATGAAGTTTATGGTATTTTGTTACATTAGCTTGAAGGGACAAGGCCTAAGACCAAGGATAAGAAGTTAGCTGCAGGGACAGCTGACGGCACTCTGTAATGCTGGAACTACATGGGAAGGTCCTGGGTTCATGTCCAGAAGCTGCCCCTGTGCCATGTAAGCCTGTGATCTGAGCTGTCTGAGGCTGGGGGTGAATCACTGGTTGAGAGCCCTATTGGGAGTGGGCTCTTTTTTTTTGTCTCTGTCATGGAAGAAATAAATGGATAAGGTTTTTTTTTTTTTTTTTTAAGAATTATTTAACTATTTACTTGTCTATTTATTTTAATTTGGCTGGGGGTGGGGAGGGAGGAAGAGAAAGTGAGAAAGTAGGCCTCCAGGTCCAGGACCTGAATTGCAGTCAGTCCTGCGGGAGTCCAATACTCTTAACCACCACGCCACCTGCTGGCCCCATAAGCACATAAACTTTTTTTTTTTTGGAGAGGTTTTTGCTAGCTCGTGCACTCGCCAGAGACAGAGAGACAGAGATACAGAAAGTGAGAAATTATCCCCCCAGGGGATCAGAAAACGAGAAATCACCCCCCACCGCAATTCCTTCTCCTCCATTCTCCTCTCAGGATCTTGGGCACGCATGCACACGTGCCCGGCGTGAGTTTTAAGCCACCGGGTCCGGGACTCGAACCACGGTCGACTACGTGGAAGTCCAGCAACATAGCCATTACGCTAACTGCTGGTCCCAACTTATAAACTTTTAAAAAAAGATTTATTTTATTTTATTTATTCATTCATTTATTTTAATTTGACCAGAGACAGAGAGAAAGAGAGAGGGAAAGTGAGAAAGCAAGCTACCAGGTCCAGGATTTGAACCATGGTCAGTTATGTGGGAGTGTCCAGCACCTTAACCACGCCACCTGCTGGTCCCACAGCACATAAACTTTTAAAAACAGGTTAAGTGGGGGGATCAGCAGTTAGCATAATGGTTATGTCGCTGGACTCCCACATAGTCGACCGCGGTTCACGTCCTAGACCTGGTGGCTTAAAACTCACGCCAGGTGCGTGTGTGCCCACGTGCGTGCCCAAGATCCCAAGAGGAGAATGGAGGAGAAGGGATTGTGGCGTAGCCATCCCCCCTGGTGGGGTGATCTCTCCCTTCCTGTCTCTCTGTCTCTATTCATCTGTCTGGTGAGCGCACACGCCTGAAAGCAAAAACCTCTCCAAAAAACCCCCAAAAAACAAAACAAAAAACAGGTTAAGTAGGGACCAGCAGATGGCATAATGGATGCATCACTGGATTCCCACATAGTCATGGTTTGAGTCCCAGATACAGCAGCTTAAACTCAGGCTGCCTCCCCATCCCCTGCTCCCACCTCTTGTTTGCTCTATCCCTCTCTGGTCAAATTAAAATAGTTAAATAACTCATAAAAAAAAAATAAAAAGATCTTTCAGAGTCAGCAGGTGATGTGGTGTTTGGGGCACTGGACTCCCACATGGCTGACCATGGTTCGAGTCCTAGACCTGGTGACTTGCTTTCTCTCACATGCATGCCCATATGCTGGCACACTCAGGGAGGGCCCCAGACAAATGCATAATGTTCCCATGCTGGTCAGCCTCACAGAACACTGTGTTACCACCAACTAGTCCCCAAGGATGTCTACTCTTTCCAAATATCTTACCTAAAAGGAGAACGGTGTCTGGCTTGGGCCGTTATACAGGTTAGAGGCACTGGCTGTGTGGCCTCAGGGCAAGGACCGACATACCATGCTGCTCCTTGCCTCGACTGCTGCCCAGGGCCAGGGAGGGCGGCTCACAGTCGCACTGCACATCCATCCCCATCTCGGGTTTTCATGCACACTTGTTCTGGGGCCATATTTCTAGAATATGTGTCCCTTAAAAATAATGTCATTTAAAAAAAAAAAGAATCATTCAATTTTATTTATTCATATATTTCAATTTTTAAAAAGAATTATTTTATTTAAATTTATTTATTTATTTATTTAAATTTGACCAGAGAGGGACAGAGAGAGAGAGAAAAATGAGAAAGCAAGCTGCGAGATCCAGGACTTGAACCGTGGTCAGCCACACAGGAGCCAGCGTCCCCAACCACCATGCCACCTGCCGGCCCCATTATTTATTTCAATTTGAACACACATGCACAGAGACAGAGAGACAGAGGGGGAGAGAGAGAGAGAGACAGCAAGCCACCAGGTACAGGACTTGAACTGTGGTTGTACATGTGGGAATGTCCAGCACCTTAACCACCATGCCACCTATTGGTCCCAATAATATAATTGTTTTTTAAATACTCATTATGTTGACTTGTCAGAATGAGAAGATCCAAGACACCCACCCTAGGACCTGACTCAAGCAGTCTTCCTGTTTCCCCTGTGACTTTTTTTCAAATAATTTATTCACTTATTTATTATCATTATTTTTCAATTTGACCAGAGACAGAGAGCGAGAGAGCGAGCAAGCAAGAGAAAGCGAGAAAGCAAGCCACCAAGTCCGGGACTGGAACTGTGGTCAGCTATCAGTCACGTGGGAATCCAGTGCCTTTAACCACCACACCACCTGCCAGGTCCGCCACCCTAACCCATGTGACTCTGACATTAAAAAACATGCAGGGAGGGAGTCACAGGCTTCAGAGGGCTGGGATTTTTCAGTTCATCTCCAGGAAGGGTTATAGATTAGTCGCTCCACACGACACAAAATTAGGAACTGAAATTTGGGTCAACTAAACCCTGACAGAGGAATGGGGAAATCTGTGACCCGGAGAATCCATGAGAGCACCTTCATTTTCCTGCCAAAGAAGGCTGAAAAACTCAGCCTTTGCTGCCATTCTGTTCCTCTACCCTGAGCATGTCCTACAGCAGGGGACAGATGAACCTTCCCTGAGTGTGGGGAAGCAGGGGAGCTTGTTAGGGACAGTCATGGGCTTTGTTCACCTCCCCTCCCCAGTGGAAAATGTTCTGTTACTTCATTCTCCTTCCCATTTCAACCCCGCAGTGCAGGCAAACAGCTGAGGAACGGTGGTGAATTCGTCTGCAGTAACCACGCTGAGCTCTGGACACTGGTGGTGGGCAGGCTGTGATGTGGCAGGAAGGGGTTGCTATCCGCAGGCTCCAGATTTCCAGGCAGCACTGCATCTCTCTGGCTGCTGGATGGAACATGAACACGGAAGCTGACCCTGCCTCAGGTAAGTTCTCTGTACTCCCTCCCTTCCTCTGGCAGCCCAGCTCTGAAGTAAGGTACAAGGGAGGGAGCATTCTCCTGGAAACGGGCTTTTCTTTTTTTTGTAGTTCAGAAACTGCAATCAGTGTCTAGTTGGCGCAGGTCTGCGCAGGGGTGGATGGAAGTATACATCTGGAGTTGTTTTGCCTTTTTTAAAAAATGTGGATCCTGGGGAGAACAGGTCAAGGCCAGAAAATGTGGCAGGTGTTGCTCACAGATCTATCCCATGATGCTGTGGTCTGGAAAGTTTAACGACCGACTATCACTGGCCTGCGTAGGGGACAAACATAAGAAAGAGAAGCCCCTCTCTAGACACCCTAACCCTTCATCTCCTCTGTGAAACTCTCCATGCACACAGCACCATTCCTATGTTCCAGGCTTCTTTCTCCAGCGCTCTTTGGGCCCCTCCTTGTGGCAGGTAGAATTCAGATAACCTTCAAGTGACAGAACCCCAAACCAAGTGACTTCGGCAGTTCACTTCTCCCAGGTGACCGCTGCTGGCAAGTGGCTCTTCACAGCACTGGCACCCAGGCTCCTTCTGCCTTGCTCTGCCTAGTGTGGCCTACACTGAGATCGTTTGCTGGCTTGAGACAGCTGCACCCAGTCATCCAGTCTACATTCCAGGGTGCCCGAGGGGGATCATGTCTTTCCCCTTAAGGACATATCCTAGAAGCTGCACATAACACTTCCTTCCACACCTGATGGCCGGAATTTAATCAGAACCTCACACTAAACTGACACTCAGAAAATGCTGTGACCAGCCATGTACCCAGCTAAAAACCAGAGCTTCTAAATTGAGGAAGGTAGAACAGATACTCAGACAGCTGGTTCTGACTGCCTTTACTGGGCCCTCCTATAACCCTGAGTATATGAGACCATCTCAGAGACAGGGCCCAACCTGATGCTCTTCCCCAACAGAGACCGTCCGACAAGAGATTGGCAATTTACAGCTAGCCCAGACTGACTGCTTACCACGTGCAGGCACCATTACACCCTTCGCAGGTGTTAACTCGTGTGACTCACAACCAGCCTTAGGATGTATCTGAGTGCTACTTTTACCCCCGGTTTACAGAACACAAAGCTGAGCTCAGAAAGGCTGGTTAACTTACTCAAGATCACACAGCTTTCACTGCAAGAGCCAAAACCTGGAGCAGATCATCTGGGAGCAAGTTCCCTGCTCCATAACCAGCGAACACTCAGCCAGTGTCCCTGAAACTGAACTGTACCACTGCAGGGCTCCCCAGAGAATGCTTCTCACTCTTGCAACAAATGACGTACAGGCCCAGGGACGAAGCCTTGCCCAGAGAGAACACAGAGAACATGGCCCTGAGGTGGCAGCCTGGCCTCTGTACTGAAGACTGAGATGACAGGACCAACTATTTCTAGACTTTTATTTCTCTGTGTAAAGGGGAAAAAGGAATAAAATAAAAACGGCACAGTTGACACAAAATAACGACTGAAGGGGAGGAAGGGAGCAAGGGTGGAGAAGTGGGGGAGGGATCCCCATCACAGCAGCAGGAGCCAATGACCCTGGACGCTCACATCTCTCTCCCACGTGGGCTGGAATGGCCCCTTTGTCCCAGGGTCACTGCCCTGTCCCACCTGTGTCCCCCAGTACCCTGGGAGGTGGACAGTGAGTAGGCTTCCCAGGCCAGGGAGAGGAAGAACCGTGCTGGGGAAGAGGCCTGGGGTCAGACCATGCACAGGGAGTGACAGCCAAATGCCCCACTTCTTCCTCCCGAGAGAGGGACTTGCAGGGGTTGGAGGGTGGACTGCAGAGGCTGGCGTTGGCTCCTCTTCCAGCATCAGGCAAGAGACAGTACTGGGGAAACAGGAACAGGCAGGAATCAGAACCACAGCTCTCCCTCTGCCCACGGCTGCCCTCCTAGGAGATGCCCACAAGCCAGGTGTCCGTCCTTGCAGACCACCCTCCCGCCAGGGCTCTGGGCTCTGGAGGTCTTACCAGTCAGGGCCTCCTGGGCAAAGTACTTGACATCCACATCCTGGTCCTGGGTTAGCTTCTCCAGGACGGGCTTGACTTCACTCTGCAGGGTGCTGGCAAGATAAAGGGAGGAGAGAGGCCAGGTTTGGCTAGAAGTAACAGGCAGGCAGAGGGTTCATGAGCAAGGAAGTGGACAGAGACATACACAGGTGGGGAATAGTCTCAAGAGGCCAAGACAAGGGCCAGCAGGTGGCATGGTGGTTAAAGGCGCTGGATTCCCACGCGGCTGACCATGGTTTGAGTCCAGGACCTGGTGGCTTGCTTTCTTTCTTTCCCTTTCTCTGTCTGTCCCTCTCGGGTCAAGTTAAAAAATAATAACAACAAAAGAATAACAAATGGAATTAAATACATAATTCTTTATTTAAAGAAGAAAAGAGTCCAAGACAGGCACATGCATGTAAATTAAACGTTTCTGAGGCTCAGGCTGAAGGTCTGGTAGAAAAGGACAGATGTTTCTGGGGCCCAGGACAAGGCGGTCAGAACTGACTGGGAAAGTGGGACACAGGCTCACAGAACCCACAAGTCTCCAAGACTCAGCAAATGGATGTGTACGGAGCTCACAGCAGTAGGAGTGAGCACAGAGTAAGTCATTCTGGATTCTTGCCCAGGGGCAGCTGGGGCCAGGAGAAAGACCAGTGTGGTCTGTACCACGCTGACCACAACTAATAGGCATGGTCGCAAAGGGAAAGTTCTTGGCCCTGCAGGAGCCCAGAGCAGCCATCTACTCTCATAAGGAGGCCTAGGGAAAACCATCTGCAATGAAAGTTGATTGTTTTGGGGAACAAAGGTACACTTCAGAGAAGCAAAGGTGTGAGCCTGTGTCCAGGGACACGGATACAGACAGCAATCAGAAATGCAGACTGTGTGCCCCCTTCCAGTCGGCAGACAGCTTCCCTCCCCTAAATGACCACTCTCTCTCTCTCTTTTAAAAAGAATTATTTTATTTAACTTTATTTATTTTAATTTGACCAGAAAGGGAAAGGGGGGGGAATGCCACCAGGTCTGGGACTTGAACAACGGTCGGCCATGTGGGAGCCCAGCACCCCTAACCACCACCATCACTTGCAGGCCCCAATAACCACTATTCTCAATTCGACTTGGATTTATTTTGCCTGTTTTTGAACTTGATACAGTATTTTTCAGGATCTGGCTTCTCACTCAGCATGTAACAGTCACTTGTGTTGCTGCTGAGAGCTGGCACCTGCTTAACAAACTTCTGCCTACCCTACATTATAAAGAAACTTCCATGTTATCTTCTAGAAGCTCTGATACTGGTCGATCACCTCAAAAGTACTTATTTATGTACTAAGATGGACATTTTAAAATTCCCATGTGGATATTCACTTGACCAAGCCATTGTGGAAAAGACGTACACGCAGCGAGAGCAACGGCAGCGGCTGTTGTTAAACACACGTGGGTTTGCTCCTGTGCTCTGACTCTGCCTCACTAGGTTATCTGAAAATTCTTATGCTTACACCTATTTTAATTACTATGGCATTTTAAGTCTAGAAATCAGGTAAGTATAAATCGTCTAACTGATCTTTACACTTTCCCTGGCTAAAATTCATGTCTTGGCATTTCCATGTTATTTTTAGAAGCAACGTGACGATTTACACTGAACAACCTACTGAGATTTAATGGGATTATGTTGAATATAAAGATGAATCTGGGTAACGGTCCTACCCACGGATATTATGTAGGTCTTTAATATCTGAAAATGAAGTGTTCTACTGCTTTCATTATGTTTGCGACTTGCCATTTGGCTTTTTATTTTTTGGAGAGGCTTTATTTGCCATAGGGTGCATGCACTTGCTAGAAAGACAGAGACAGACAAGAGAGAGAGATAGTGAGAAATCGTCCCCCAAGGGGGATGGCCATGCCGCAATCCCTTCTCCTCCATTCTCCTCTCGGGATCCTGGGCACACACATACACGTGCCGGGCCTGAGGTTAAGCCACTGGGTCCAGGAATCAAACCATGGTTGACTACATTGGAGTCCAGCAACATAGCCATCACGTCAATTGCTGGTCCCAGTCATTCGGTATTTTTGGTGCAATTATAAATTATACACACACAAGCACAAATATATACACACATGCATGTGCACATACATGCATATATAAAAATATCTGTTAAGTGCTTCCATTCTCTTATGCTTTGTTGCTAGTATCGAACACCCACATCTTACCCTCTCTCGCATTTTATGTTGAGGAAGGAGAAAACTAAGACCTTGGGGTGGGGAAGGACAGGCCAAGATCACACAACAAGCAAAGAGCAGTGCTGGGCCTCAAACCCTGAGCACTATCTTCAAAGAACAGAGATTAAGATTCTCTGACCAAGCCCCCACTGGAGTCATGAGGGAGCTCCCAGCCTTACCTGTTGTCTAGGATGGGCCCTATCTTCTGCAGGGACTTGGCCACATTGAAGCGGACATTGGCGACAGGGTCCCCAGCCATACGCAGGACTGTGGGCAGCATGTGCTTGGTGGTGATGTCCTGTCCACAGACCTCAGACAGCACCTGGGGACCAGTGAGTGGCAGAGGGATGACTGTTTAAAGTTCATGGCTACATTTTATCCCCTAACTCTGATGAACCCACTTGCAATCACCAGGTCCTACTGGGAGGCTGGGCACTGTGCGGAACTCTGAGTCTACGTTCACCCATCCTGGGGGCAGCTCATCCTCCCGAAGCTCCCAACTCCCCTAAACACACTCCTAATATACCATGTCTCCATGCTGGGACGTCCTGGTCGCTCTCAGACTCTCCTCCATCCGTTGGGGACAGGCCTTGATCCCTAACTCCTCGAGATCCCTACTTACAGTGATCTCCAAAATGTGCCGGGAAAAAAAATCTGGAAATAGTTACATTTCTTTTTAAATGCCAGCCTTTAATTTTTCTTTCTTTTTTTATATTTGTTCTTCTTTTTTTTTTTTTAAAAGATTTTATTTATTATTTTTTCACATGAGTCTTGCCAGAGAGAGAGAGACAGAGAGAGGGGAGGGAGAAAACAAGCCATCAAGTTCAGGACTCGAACCGTGGTCAGCCATGTGAGAATTCCAGCACCTTAACTACCATGCCACCTGCTGGACCCTAATTTCTAACTATGTGTGTGGTTTATAAGTACAGCAATGTATGAGCTTATTAGAATGTTAGTAAAAATTAATACAGAAGTACTTCCTATATGTAACTGTTCTAAGTCCTGTGTACATATAGCAATATTCATCTTTATCTTTTTATTTATGTATTGTTTTGGAGAGGTTTTTGCTACAGGGCACGTGCACTCGCCAGAAAGACAGAGACAGAGAGATAGAAAGTGAGAAATCACCCCCCAGTGGGGATGGCCATGCTGCAATCCCTTCTCCTCCATTCTCCTCTCGGGATCTTGGACACACATGCGCATGCGCCTGGCATTGAGTTCAAGCCACTGGGTCCGGGATTCAAACCGCGGTCAACTACATGAGAGTCCAGCGACATAGCCATTACTCTAACTGCAAGTCCCAGCCATAATCATCTTTATAACCTGACGTGGTGGATAGTGGGATGAACAGAATGAATTCTTAAAATTTGTATTATCATTATTATTTTATTAATGTTTTTAGAGGTTCTTGCCTTAGGGTATGTACATCACCAAAGAAACAACCAGAGAGAGACAGTACGAGGGAAAGTGAGAAATCGCCCCCCTGGGGGAATGGCCACACAATTCCTTCTCCTCCATTCTCCTGGAACTTGGACAGGCACACGCACACGTGTGCCAGGCAGGATTTCCAAGCCACTGATGTGGTTCTAGAACCAGTCAGCTGTGTGGGGTACAGCCCAGTGATGTGACCATGACGCCATCTGCTGGCCCACGCTATTAAGTTTGCTATAAGGTATGCGTGCTCAGAGAAAGACAGTGAGGGATGGAGGCAATGCGTGAGAAAGCGGGCCACCAGCTCCAGGACTTGAACCACGGTCAGACATGTGGGAGTCCAGCACCTCAACTACCACACTACCTGGTGGTCCCCAGAAAGAATTTCTTACAGTGAGAAATCTGGAGCTTTAAGTGTCAGATAACTTTCTTAAGGCTCACAGCTAATGTGCAGCAGGTCTAGAACTGAAAACAAGGTCTGAGTCCAGAACCTGGACACTTAACCATTGTACTGTAAAACATCCAGTTTGCAGGGAAGAAGGGTGCTCACAGCACTTGGGAGATCACTGCCTGCACAGGTCTGGTTTCCCCGCCCCTGGTCTCCCACTGTGTAGGTCCCCTCCCCTAGAGGTCCCAGGACCCTGACCTTGGGAGCTCCGGCCCTAGGCCTACTATCCCACCAGCGTCTCTATGGCCACAGATCTCTACCACTTCTTTATTTCCAAGTCAAGTGTCTCCCTTGGGACCATCAACCATCTTCCTTTCTTGGGTGCTTTAGCACCCCAGGGATAGGTGGAAGGCAGGTGGGGTTGCTCACATTGATGCAGAAGAGCGTTGTCATGCGGTGCAAGTAGTTGGGGTCTCCAGACATGGCCAAGACTTTGGGGATGATAGTGGCATGGGCCCACTCTTTTCCGAACTTCTCTACCAGCTTCTTCAG